ATATATAGTCATGGGACATGGAGTGGAGTCAAGGGAATTGTAATAGATATGCATGATATTGGGGGAAGTGGGGTGGCAGATTGGGGGAGGGGGGTTGTCACTTCGAGGGGTAAAATGTATAACTATTGCACTGTGTTGTACAGCTGAAACTAATTCTAAAAAATGTGTATTTCATAATAAAAAAATAATAAAAAAAGATAAAATAAAATCAAGAACTGGGGGGAAAAAAATGTCCACTGGAGTGAGGAATAGGTGGGCAGAGGTTTAATGTTCATTGACCTCCCCTTAGTACTATGATATTTTAAACCACAAATAAATACAATGAATAAATAAAAACATATTGCAAGTTTACCCAGTTTAAAAAAAAAAGCCATCTGCTAAACTTTCAGGTTAAAGACATTCAATTCACACAGCAGCAGACACAGAGCCAGTAAGCCTACCGGGTTTGTAACTCCAGGGACCTTTTCCTTCCCGTTATGATGAATGTGTGGGCTGCATGTGGTTTGACGATATCCTGCACCTAAAGGCACATGACAAAAGACAAAACATAACAGCCAGTCACTTAGCAGGCCCTGAGCTTTGGCCTCACTCTCTCAGACATGGAAGTCTTTCCTGAGGAGGGGGCAGCGGTGACCCAGCGGGTCTGCAGGAAGAGGGCCCTGCTCAAGGTCACAGCTGAGGGACGGCTATTGTGTGAGCAGGTCTGTGGGGGAGGGAAGACTGTTCTGCCCAGGCATGCCTAGGACCTCTCATCTGCCAAATCTGCCTGGTCCCTGGGATTCCTGGGAAGTCGGCCACCAGCCCTTGGACAAGCTGTGCATTTCTCCCACCAAGACATCCACCGGCACGACTCCTGACAGAGGGATGGGAATCTTAGGAAAAGAGCCAGGACAATCTCCACCACTCTGCAGGGTTACCTAAGCCCTATGGGAAGGTGCCTCAGATCAGCAGGCCCCTGTCATGGGGAGCTGCCCCTCATCTCCCCAGTACCCCATCCCCAAGGCCCTTGTCTGGGTGTGGCCCTCAAGCCAGCCCTTAGGCCAGCTACTGTCAGAACCAAGAGCTGGCATTAGGGAGACAGGGCCCTGGCCTGCCCAGAATCTTCCATGGAGCCTCACAGCATGACTTTCCCAATGGCTCAAGGTCAAGAACCTCTGCTTTAACACATCCAGTTAATTATATATAGATTGATTTTTTTTTTTTTTTTACAGAGAAACACTAAAAAAATTGTTTCTTCTAGCTATGGGAGAAAGAAAGTATTTTTTTTTCTCTAGTTAGTTGTTACTTTTAATGGTATTTCTTAAACCTGAATTCAGAGGATCAAGGTAAGAAGGGATTTTTTTTTTTGGTATCACTAAGGCAAAACTTCACTTTCTACAACTAATTAAGTACTTTGATTCAGTCAATATTTTTTGGAGCACCCATTAATTCAGAGCCTTCCCCCACAGGAGAGGGGACTGATTCCAGCTTCTGCAGCTAGGATAGAAGATTATTTCTGACAAGTGAAACAGGCAAGATGCAGAACAGGCTATACAGTAAATGGCCATCTGTGATTTTAAAAACAGGTACATATGTATGAGCATAGAAATTCTGGAAGGATAGTGAAGAGATGGTCAAGAATGTCCACTGGAGTAAGGAATAGCTGGGCAGAGGTTTGATGTTCATTGCTCTCACCTTAGTACTGCTATGTTTTAAACCACAAATAAATAAAAACAATGAATAAGTAAAAGCACACTGCAAGGTTATCCAGTTTAGAAAAAAGAAGCCATCTGCTAAACTTTCAGGTCAAAGACACAGCAGTTCACACAGCAGCAGACACTAAGCCAGCTAGCCTACCCAGCCCACACCAGGAGACACGGACAGCTCAGGGAACCGGGGCAGCAAGCACAACAGGTGGTCTGGACCTTGGGCACAGGTGCCTGTGGAGCCTGTTGTGGGCTTCGAGGTTGGTGGGAGAGGAGAGAGCAGGAACGGGGGTCAGGCATTCACCCGGAGCTTCACCTTCAGATCTGTAAATGGGGCCCTGAGTGCCAGCCTCACACGGGACAGAGGTCAGCCCAGGTCCTGGTGCCATCCTCATCTTATGTGCATGAGGCCGGCAGTGCCCTGGCAGATGGGCCAAGCAGAGGTACAGGGGATCCTGCCCACCAGCCCAGGATGCCAGGCCAAGGCGCCCTCAGAGACAGTCTGGCTTTGCCTGAGTCACCAACAGATCAGAGGCTCAGAGAAGTGGGCCAGTGGCCGGGTGTCCTTATCCTTGCTCTGTGCCCTCCCAGGTGAGTGGGGAGGGAAAGAGGGGGCACCCACCTGGAGGTCTGAAATGTCCATCCTCTCCCGGATGCTGAACTTCTGGCCCATGAGCCGCAGTTTGGGCACACAGTAAAGGATCATGCTGTTGAACTGTGATGATGAGAGGCAGGCGTGAAGAGGGGCAGGACAGGAGACCCCATAGAGGAGGCATCCCAGGGAGGTATAAGTGGCCCTGGGGCTGGGTAGGAGTGAGGCTGGGCAGGGCTGAGTGTGGCCCTGTGGGGGTGGGGGAATGTGGCTCACCAGGATGAGGTGGCGGTCCTGAGCCGTGCCATTCTTGGCCGATAGCTTCTGGATGTTGCCCTCCTTGATCAGCTCATTGGCGGGGTTGACAATGTCCTCCTCTCCCCCTAGTCGCTCGTACACCTCCAAGAGCTTGTGCATTTTCTCCTGCAAGAGACACAGGGCTCAGGCAGCTGTGTGACCACAAGGACGGGAGGTTTGCAGGGGCTCCTGGGGACCCAGGGTGAGCAGAGCCCCACCAGGCAAATGTGGTCTGGGCAGCACAATGAGCCTGCTGACAAAGGGGTAGGAGACAAAAAAAGGGGGGGTAACATTTAAGTCGGGCATTGAAGGATGAATAGAAGTTCACTGTGCAGAGAACAATAAATAACAATAGCTAACACTGTTGCTATGTGCCAGGCAGTGTTCCACACACAGTATAGGTATAACTCATTCGATTCTAGCACTGACCCTCTCAAGTGGGTGCCATTATTATCCTCAATTTAAAGACAAGGAAACTGAGGTACAGAGAAGTCAAGGAGTTTCTGGAAGTATTTTAGCTAGAGAACTGAGAGTGGCCCTCTCAGCCTCTGTAGCACACACTAACTCCTTCTATGGGGCTTCTATGGGGGTCTTCAGAGAGACATGTTGGGCAGCTGTAGCTTTTACCCGGATGGTGCCCCCTCCTCTGGTAGCCTTGTCTAGTTTCCAACTGCACTAGGCCCATCATGAGACTGGACCTCTGCCAATCTGCAGTTCATATCCCTCTGGCCTCACGACTGGGTGGTCACATGGCCAACCAGTGGCCTTGGGATGCGATGGGGGACTGTCAGCAACTATGGCTCCAGCTCTGAGCCTAGAGGCCATGGTCCCAGACCTGCCACTGCCACCACTGGGGGTCTGAGCTGGGAGCAAAGGAATGAACACAGCAGAGGCTGAGCTGAGCCTGCAGGAACCCTGATGTATTGTACTGGGGGCCTGGGGTGCACCTGGTGTGTACTGGGGGGCTGGGGTACACCTGGTATATACTGGGGGACTGAGGTATACTTGGTGTGTAGTGGGGGACTGGGGTATACCTGGTATGTACTGGGGGGCTAGGGTGTACTTGGTGTATACTGGGGATCTGAGGTACACCTGGTGTGTACTGAGGGCCTGGGGTACACCTGGTGTGTACTGGGGGATTAGGGTGCACTGGGTGTGTACTGGGGGGGCTAGGGTACACTTAGTGTATACTGGGGGATCAGGTGTGCACCTGATGTTTTGACTAGGGGGCTGGGCGTGCACCTGGATTGTACTGGCGGGCTGGGGTGTACCTGGTGTGTATTGGAAGGCTAAGTGTGTACCTGGTGTTTATTTGGGGGGCTGGGTGTACACCCGGTATGTAGTGGGGGGCTAGGTGTGCACCTGATGTTTGCTGGTGGGGCTGGGTGTGCACCTGGCGTGTAGGAGAGCTGGTTTGTACTTGAGAGGCAGTTGCAGGCCAGGAGGGTTCTGAACAAGGAGTGACAAAATAGGTACCCCTTTGAAAGCCCAGAGTTGGAGAAGGATGGATCAAAGGCCAGGGAGACTGGTGGTTTGTGGAGGTTGAGGCTGAGGGGGGTGGGTATGAATGGAAGCATGAAGAGGCTCCAGTGAGCACACACTGATCATTCCTTAGGGTCACCCCCAGGATTCTCATTGGAGCCTCCCACCTGCCACTCCTGGACTTGGGGAGTGTACATGCTACAGGTGAGACAGGAATCCACCCAGATGGGAGGTCCCAGGCTTTGTCTGCGCCCCTCAGACATGTATGCCCGTGAGGGCTCTCCCCAGTGTCCTCTGTGTGAGCGCGTGACCATGGAATTCTGCCAGGCAGCTTTCTCTCTTTCATTACATGCAGCCTTGGAGAGAAAAAAAGGGGGGAGGGAATCAAATGTGAAAGACCCACAGTGAAATGTGGCCTGTTTAGGGTTGCCATGGGTGCCCAAGAGAGAACACGACCTCAGGTCAACCTGGTCCTGGGGACCCAGACCCAGACCTGGGGACGGGTTGGTAAAGAGGGCACCAGATGTGGACCACATATAACAAGAGCTGTCCCAAAACAAGCCACCTACCTAGCATTTCTCTGAGAGATGTGGGATAAAAAAAATTTTCACTTTTTTTTTCCCTCTCAAAAAACAACAGTGCCTGTGTGAAGGTAAATAGGTCTCAGGATTGGGAGACACCGCGGCTGGGTCTGGACTGTGATGGCCTGGAGAGTGGGACAGTGTGCAGGCCAAACAGGACAGAGCCACCTGCATCACAGGGCATCAGTGTGGGCCCAAGGAGGCCTCCCTGAGCCACAGACCCCACTACACAGAGCGATTAGATCAACAAGGAGACGTGTCTCCTCCACCTTTGGGCTGTATATAGAGGTAGGGCCTTTGGAGGTGATTATGTTTAGATGGGTTACGGTCATGAGGGCAGGGCCCCATGATGATCCCAGACCCAGAGAGCCTTGTTGCTTTCTTTGCCACGAGGACACAGCGAGAAGGCAGCTGCCTGCAAACGAGGACCAAAGCTGCTGGCACCTTATCTGGGACTGCCAGCCTCCAGAGCCATAAGAACAGGTGTGTGTTGCTTAAGCTGCCCAACCCGAGCTGACTGAGACAGCTTGAATGAATGAATGAATGAATGAACAAAAAAATGATGGGAACGTTGGGGTTATCACTTTGTGAGGTATGTACATGTCTAATCATTAAGTTGTTTTGTATACCTGAAATTAATAATTAAAAAAAATTTTTAAATGATGGGAGCTAACATTGTGCTGGGCACTTTATGGAGAGTCATTTAGCCCCACAACAGCCCGATGAGACAAATTCTGTCAGTAACTGTTTTACAGATGGAGAAATTGAGGCACAGAGTGCTAAACAACAATCTCCGAGCTAATTCTCAGTGGAGATCCTGTCTGCCCTGGGGGAGAGATGGGTGATGGAGCCCACCTAAGGACAGGTGTGTGTGTGTGTGTGTGTGTGTGTGTGTGGAGCACCAATGGAGCACACCTGGGGACAGGTCGGTTCATGTGCACACTGATGGCGCCTGGCTTGCCCCACACTCTTTCTGCCTCACACTGTGGAGCCCTCAGACATCCTCCAGGAGCCTTCCAACTCACCATTTTCCGAATGGCGGCATTGGAGTGGTTGGCGGCTGTGGAGATGAGCTCCAAGGACCCTGCAGGAGGAAGATTTAGAGTCAGGCTACAAGGTGCCTGGTGGCTCCACACATGTCCTGGCCCCACAGTGCTGAGAGTTCGATTTGCTCTGCGCTACCATTTCTCTTGGGTGTCCAGGGCTGCTCAGGAGACCTGGCTGCTTGGGGGGATGTGACCCTGCAGACGCACTTCATTTGCTAGACCCTGCTCCCTGCACAGACCCCTGCCCTGTGCTGCCCGCTGGCTACTGCCCTTGAGCCAGGAGCAACCCCTGTGACCCAATGAGGCCCTTCCTGGAGCTAAGCTTTTCCAGCACTTAGTAGCCCCTTCACCGGAACCAGTGTCTTCCCCTTACACTGCAGTGAGAGCAGGGGAATCTTCCCAAGACGTGTTTAGGGAGCACTTGGATCTCTCTCTCTCTCTCTCTCTCTCTTTATCTGTCTCTCCATTTCTCTGTATCTCTCCATCTCAGTCACCCTGTCTCTGTGTCTCTCTCTCTCTGCCCTCCCCCACCCCCCTTCCTGTCCCTCTGTCTCTCTTGACATGGGTTTGTGGCAGGTGCCCCTGCTCCCCCTTGCCAGGAGTCAGTCAGCCTGGTGGCAGCTCAGCTCACTCTCTGCATCCTTCTTGTCCGGAGCGTCCACTGGGAGCCGCTTCAGATAGTCCTTGAGCAGCAGCTCGTAGCGGGGGACCCTCTGCACAGGTTCCAGCATGTGGTGCTGCAGCGTCAGGTTCCCGCACACCTCCTGCTTCTGTAGGGGAGACAGAGAGCTTGGACACCACTGACACGTGTGTGCACCAGGCCCACCCTTACCTCCAGGAAGCTGCCCAGAGCACCTGCACCTCTGACTGCAGACCACATATTACAGCTGGGGAAACTGAGGCTTGGGGAGACTGAGCACTGGAGCAAGGACCCAGACCCTGGGTGGGCCAGCTCTAGACCCAGTGTTGGCTCGTTTATATACATCTTTGTGAAGAGTGACTTCCCCACTCTCATTCGCCCAGGGGCCTGACTTGAGCTCTTCCTCCGACTGAGAAGGTAGGAACTTCTCCAGCCCTCCTTACGGGAAGCCCCAGTGGTTCATACCTAGACACTGCTCTAAGTGCCATCTATCCCCTCCTAGAAACACAACACTGTGTGTCAGGTGGGGTGGGGGCTGAGACCCTCCCGGGACCCCTGCCCAGCACCGCTCCAGGGTTCCCATCCTATTTCTCGCCCCTCAGCACCTCGTCCAGACCTGATCAGGCATCTGCACCCCAGACCACACATGCTGCATGTCATCACCCACCACTTCTGTGCTCACCCACTGGTGCCCTGCCGGTGCTGCCCTCTCCTCCTCCCTTGGATTCCCCGCACCCATGTCTCAGCTGACAGGCCTCATACAGAATCCACCCATCCCTGCGCCTGCCTGGGGAGCAGCTGCAGTCGTCCAGGTTGTCGCACAGGCCATCTGGCTCCCCTGCCTACCTTCCACCCTTGCCCAGCTCAGGGCCCGGCATTGTGAGCAGAAAGGAACTCACAATGCCTTGAACACAGAAGGTCTGGAAGAGCACCAGTCTGCAGCCGCCATAAAAACAATTGTTTCGGGCAAGAAGTATCAAGGGAGAATGAGAAGCAGGACATTTACACCATTTCAAAGCATCTCTCTCCAAGTAACTTATTAATGGGGAAAGAAGGGACGTCACCATGGAGAGATCTGGCAGACACTCCCTGAGTCAAATAAGCATCCTCCAGGAGTAGGACAATAAGAAGTTGTGCAGCACAGGCAGGACAGGTGAGGACAAGGTCTCACTCTCATGAAATTTCTGCAAAGACGCACAACCTGAATTGAGTGGTGAAGAAACCACAGACAAAGCCAAATCAAGAGACTGTGTGCAAGTAACTGGCCTGTCCTCCTCAGAAGGGACAACGACATGGAAGAAAAGATGGAAAGAGACAAACATGATAATGAACGCAATGTGTGATCCTGGGTTTGTGTGTGGACCAGAAAAAAAAAAACCCCAAAAAACCCCAACCAAAACAAAAAAAGAAACCACATTGGGACAACTGGTGATACATGAAGGAGGGCTGGGGCTAGATGAGTGCTATTGCGCCAGTGTGAAACTTCTTGATTTGAATCACTGTGCTGGGCATGCAGGAGAATGTCCTTGTCCACATTCAGTGACACAGGGCTACATCTGCTGCTCAGTCTCAAAATGTTCAAAAATAATAATCATATGTGTGCGTGTCTGGAGAAAGTAATAAAGTAAACAAGACAAAATGTTAACAGTTCTCTATTTTTGCAACTTTTTGTCAGTGTTTGAAATTGTTTCAAAATAGAAGTTCCAAAAATTTAGAATATGCTTTGATGAAATCAAGGAAACCCCAAAGGCCACACAATTCGTGATGTGTCCATGCTGGGGGTCTCAGAGAGCTCCCTGTGGTGGGTGCTGTCCTGTGCTCATGAGACATTCAGCTACATCCTATGCCTGTGCCCACTATGGTGCCACTCTGGAGGGGTCTGTGGGGGCAGTGTGGCCCACTGAGAGCCATAGACTGTGCTGAGCCCGGGGATGGGGCCCTCCCCACAGCACACCTGGCCCAGAGCGCCAGGTCTGCCTGGGGTGTGGGGACGTGCTGGCCAGCAGCTGGCTGTGACTAAGGCCATGTCTGCCCATGACAACACACTGGTCATCCCCATGCCCAAGTGTGGGGTCACGAAGGGCCTGCAGACTCGAGGACCTGGTCTGCCAGGTGTGGTCAGAGAAGGCAGCCTGTGCCACAAGCGTCAGGTGGAAGCTCAACGGCCCAGCACCTCATCAGGTTGGGACTGTGTGAATACTAGCATCACAGTCGCTACACCGAGAGGCAGAGCAGGTCCCCAGAAGAGGCCCTCCTTCATCCTAGACTCTAGAGAGTTGTCACTGTCTGGCACACGGGGAAGCACATCAAATGAATCCTGATTTTGTCTTTTCTTCTCTTATTCTCAGAATAACCAAATCAGATACCAATTAGCCAATGAAAATTCTTCAGATTTCAACTTCCTCAAGTATAGCTTTATGATTATGATTATGATTATCATTATTAAGGAGAGGAGATGTAGGAGGAGAAAAGAAAAATAACAAATGCAGGCATCTCAGATAAGAAGGATAGTGGGACCATGGGCAGTTTGGGTCTGTGAGGCCCTGGAGGTGGACCCACAGTCTTTCCTGACAATTACGGTGTCACTCTAAGGCAGCAGTTCTCAACCTGTGGGTTGCGACCCTTTTGGGGGTCGAACGACCCTTTCACAGGGGTCGCCTAAGACCATTGGAAAACAAAAAGATATTTACATTACGATTCATAACAGTAGCAAAATTACAGTTATAGAGTAGCAACGAAAATAATTTTATGGTTGGGGGTCACCACAACATGAGGAACTGTATTAAGGGGTCGCGGCATTAGGAAGGTTGAGAACCACTGCTCTAAGGGCAGCAGCCAACCAGACAATGACCTCTAACAAAACCACGCAGGGCACTTGCTTCCTGGGAAAGGAGGCCATGCTGTGACTCGTGTCCCAGGAAAAGGGGCTTGTTCTCCCTCTGCCACGCTTGGCAGGAGTGCAGAACCACGGTGCCCACACCAGCCTAAACCTCTGTACATGGGATGCCCTGCTCGGGGCAATTTTAGTCAGCCCTGCAGCTGGGTGACCAGACCCTGCAGACTTGGGCGGCACAAGCCCTGGTCTCTGGTCACTCAGGGCTGTGGGTCAGCCACAGGCACAGCTTGGGGAGACTGGATGAAACTGTTCCATGGGGAGAGCTAGGAGTGCCAAGATGTGAGTGAGCTGGTGAGAGTTCAGGGGGGTGTGGGCAGAAGGGAGAAGTAAGGACTCAGTGTGAGAGCTGTCCTCTCTGGGGAGGTACAGGAATGCTGAGGGATACTGGGGGGTATCTAGGACTCCACAGTAGGAAATCATGGCTGACCTGATGACTGTGGATCTGGCGAAAACAGAATGTTTTCAAGAGGTCACCCCAAATCCAGGCCTGGCCTCCAAGCATTCGGCATAGAGTGTCTCAGTGCCCATTAACCCTCCAGGGTACATTGAGGAATGTGTGTGTGCACATGTCTGTATGCATGTATGTGCATGTGTGTGTGTGTGTGTGTGTGTGTGTGTGTGTACTAGTGATGTTGGGACAAGTGGTTAACTAACTATTCACAAAAATAAAACTAGATTCTTACCTCATACCATAATCCATCTGGACACTATTCTGGGATAGCATTTTTAATTTTTAAAATAAAACCATACTTTAGAAGGAAACATAATTTATATAACTTTGGGAAGTGAAAAATGCATTTATAGGCATCACTTCAAACGTTTCCTAAAGCATCACTTTATTTAAAAGTTGGTGAATGTGCACCTGAAACTAATTTTTTTTAAAAGTTGGTGAACATGGCTAATTAAAAACCAAAAATTTTGTTTAGAAAACATCATAACGTTTTAAAAATAAAAGATCAATGAGAAAAAATAATTTGTAATACATATGACAGATGACAGCTAATATTCTTTTTTTTTTTTATTGTTAGTTTCAGGTGTACAGAACAATGCAATAGTTACCCTTTTCACCCTCACAAAGTAACAACCCCCCTCCCCCATCC